GCAGACGCCATTTTTTTTGTTTTCTGTTATTTTGAAAGTGTAAATGATGGAAATAAAATCTAACTTTTGTTGACATATTATAAGAATGTCTAATCTGTAATTTGATGCCTTTTGGAGATTTTTCCATCTTTCCTTGGCTTCTTTATGCACATTAATACAAACTTTTAGCTGGGGTGCCCAAACTTTCGATCCCCACTGTATGTGTGTGTGTGTGTGTATATATATATATATGTGTGTGTATATATATATATATATGTGTGTGTGTGTGTGTATATATATATGTGTGTGTGTGTGTGTATATATATATGTGTGTGTGTGTATATATATATATGTGTGTGTGTGTGTATATATATATATGTGTGTGTGTGTATATATATATATATATATGTGTGTGTGTGTATATATATATATGTGTGTGTGTGTGTATATATATATATATATGTGTGTGTGTGTGTGTATATATATATATGTGTGTGTGTGTATATATATATATATATGTGTGTGTGTGTATATATATATATGTGTGTGTGTGTATATATATATATATATGTATGTGTGTATATATATATATATATATGTGTGTGTTGTCAGCTATAGATAAGACTAAATTCAGCCTGGACTGAGGACTCTCCAGCTGTATTACTGTGAAGCCACCATGGAGTCCCCGGTCTCCCCACCCATCCCTGTGACTTTCTGCTTTCCACACATTGTAAACTATAAGCTGCACCCCCAGCATCCCTTTAGATGTGCATTGTATCCCTTTAGATGTGCATTGTATCCCTTTAGAAGTGCATTGTATGCCTTGAGCTGTAATATAGGCACTCATTGATATTGGCTGCATTGATTGACTGGTTTACGGCTTTGACAGCGGTGACTCGATCAGAACGGTCTCTCTGATGGTTGCCACACACACATCAATATGATCAATCAATGGGACCAAACCAATCAAAGTGAATAAAAATCACAGATGAAAGACTCTCAGTGCCATCGATTTACTCAGCTATTGATCAATTTTGATAATGTGATCAGCCTTAGCGGAATTTCGTTGATCACTTGCGATTGATTGAACAAGTATCAGCGCATGTATAGGGGACCTGATTATAAAACGATTAAACTGATGGATTTGGGATGGATAAAATGCATTTTCAAACGGCATTTTCAGTTGATGATGAAGCGCAGAGCGATACCATGTGTGTCGCATTGTTTTGCATTTTCATTGATGAAGAATCACCTTCTTGTGATGGTTCGCCCTCACACTGATCGCAGATTGTTCGATGTATGACCACCATGACAGGGGTGCCAGGGATGTCAGACGTCACACTCCTCCCCAGGCTCCGCCCGCTCACTGCTCTTACTGATCCTCTGTCTATCATCCTGTTAGGAGCAATGCAGGAAAGATCCTCCAGTAAAAAGTCAGCCCAGCCACAATGTATCACAAAGTAACAATCTTGTATTTCACTTATAGTCACACAAGAATTCCAGGCGGGGCAACAATGTAACGTGGTGTTCAAAAATATAAAATATATATAAAAAGCGTCATACTCAGCTCCTCCCCAAACCAGCGCTGAGATTTCTCTCTGGCCAGCCCAAGTGCTGGTTTCTGCAGCCAATTAAAGCTCAGATGGTGCCTGGAAGGGCTAAGCAACGCATTACCTGGCATTCTATGCTATGCCTTGCGTCTTACCCGCCCTGCCCTGGTACCTCCAGTATCCAACTGAGACTCGTCATCCTCTGTGACTCCTGTGCACTCCAGTGACCCCAGTGTCTCCAGTGACCCCTATCTTCTTCCTTGTCTCCAGTGACCGCAAGTGTCTACAGTGACCCATCTTCTTCCTTGTCTCCAGTGACCCCAGTGTCTACAGTGACCCCTATCTTCTTCCTTGTCTCCAGTGACCCCAGTGTCTCCAGTGACCCCTATCTTCTTCCTTGTCTCCAGTGACCGCAAGTGTCTCCAGTGACCCCTATCTTCTTCCTTGTCTCCAGTGACCCCAGTGTCTCCAGTGACCCATCTTCTTCCTTGTCTCCAGTGACCCCAGTGTCTCCAGTGACCCATCTTCTTCCTTGTCTCCAGTGACCCCAGTGTCTACAGTGACCCCTATCTTCTTCCTTGTCTCCAGTGATCACTACTCCCCACCAAATGAAAGTTTTAAAAAGAATTGCCCCCAGGACAATGCCCAGCTGCCCCCCCATGTTCTTTGATTGACCATTCATTGCCTATTAGCCCAGAAAATGGCCGGATCTGTTAGTTAACATTCACTTACATTGATTCCAGTGGGGTTCAGATTCGGCACAGACCAGACCCGGGTACATTCTGCTCACCCGAACCTGAAACTATTTTACAAATAAATTGCACAATGACCATCGACAAGTCTGGCTCCATCACAGACAAACAAATACAAGCTGAATTTTTATATAAAAAGATCCTTATTAAATCTGGAGCCCCCTGCACATACCAACCCCACCCCCCTCCTTCCCAGAGTGGAGAAGTTGGGTGAGGGAGGTTTTGCTGACACCGCAGCTTTTCATTCAGCAGCCATCACAGCGGCTGAGCCAGCAGACAAGCGGGAAGCTGACAATGACCCCTGACCTGGTATCCAGCCAGCCAGAGATTTATAGACGGCCCATAAAGAGATGCAGATGAATTAACGTTCTTCATGAAGTCCTTGAGTATAAATATCATGGAGAGACCAGTATTGATTGGAGTATCAGCCATTCATGCCGTCGTTACATGGATAACAAATGGCGGTCTGGATATATACCATATTGCCAAAAGTATTGGGCCCCCGGCCTTTTCACACGCATGACCTTTAATGGCCCCCCAGTCTTAGTCCGTAGGGTCCAATATTGAGTTGGCCCCGCCCTTTCCACGCACATGACCTTTAATGACCCCCCAGTCTTAGTCCGTAGGGTTCAATATTGAGTTGGCCCCGCCCTTTGCACCTATAACAGCTTCAACTCTTCTGGGAAGGCCGTCCACAAGGTTTAGGAGGGTGTCTATGGGAAGGTTGGACCATTCTTCCAGAAGCACATTTGTCAGGTCAGGCACTGATGTCGGGGGAGGAGGCCTGGCTCGCAGTCTCCGCTCTAATTCATCCCAAAGGTGTTCTATGGGGTTGAGGTCAGGACTCTGTGCAGGACAGTCAAGTTCCTCCACCCCAAACTGGCTCCTCCATGTCTTTATGGACCTTGCTTTGTGCACTGGTGCGCAGTCATGTTGGAACAGGAAGGGGCCATCCGCAAACTCCTCCTACAAAGTTGGGAGCATGAAATTGTCCAAAATGCCTTGGTATGCTGAAGCCTTAAGAGTTCCCTTCACTGGAACTAGGGGGCCAAGCCCAACCCCTGAAAAACAACCCCACACCATAATCCCCCCTCCACCAAACTTTACACAATGCAGTCATGTAAGTACCATTCTCCTGACAACCGCCAAACCCAGACACGTCCATCGGATTGCCAGACAGAGAAGCGTGATTGGTCACTCTAGAGAACACGTCTCCATGCCCTAGAGTCCAGTGGCGGCGTGCTTTACACCACGGCATCTGACGCTTTGCATTGCACTTGGTGATGGAAGGCTTGGATGCAGCTGCTTGGCCATGGAAACCCATTCCATGAAGCTCTCTACGCACTGTTGTTGGGCTCATCTGAAGGCCACACCAAGTTTGGAGGTCTTTAGCTATTGACTCTGCAGACAGTTGGCGACTTCTGCGCACTGTGCGCTTCAGCATGCGCTGACCCCGCCCTGTCATGTGACGTGGCCTACCACTTGGTGGCTGAGTGGCTGTTGTTCCCAGTTGCTTCCAATTTGTTATAATCCCACTAACAGTTGAGCGTGGAATATTTAGTAGCCAGGAAATGTCACGGATGGACTTATTGCCCAGGGGGCCACCTATCACGGGACCCACGCTTGGAGTCACTGAGCTCCTGAGAGCGACCCATTCTTTCACCAATGTTTGTAGAAGCCGTCTGCATGCCTAGGGCTTGATTGTATACACCTGTGTCCATGGAGGGGATTGGAACATCTGAATCAAATATTTTGGAGGGGATTGGAACTGTCAGGGCTTCCAGGTATGACCAGAGGTGTGTGACTGATGCAGGGAAACGCAGACTTCAGATATGTGATTAACAATATAATTTATTAACACTAACAATACAAACATAAACGCAGTGCAATACTAAACATAACACAGTGCAAACAAACCAAACCAACCACCCACAGATAACAGTACATACAAGCAAGCGTCGTCAGGCAGGCCGAGTCAATATCAATTGGGCAGGTAGGTACAGGGGGAGCAAAGCGGAGAATGGTCGGGGTCACAGGCCAGGTTCAGCAGGTAGCAAGCAGCGTAGTACAGAGGGTCAGGCAGAGGGTATGGTCAGGGTCACAAGCCAGGATCAGAACAGGTAGCAAAGGGACAGAAACAGGATGCAGGACAGATACAGGGCCCAGGACAAACACAACACCAAGGCAGAGTCTGCAAGTCTGGCCATCCCTTAAATACACCAGTATCATCAGTTCCAGGTGTTAGCTGGCTGAAAGGTTGAGTCTCTGATTGCTGGGAGCACCCGCTGGCCAGCCCTGGTACTGCAGATCAAAAGGCAGGTGAGTCCCACCATTGCTGGCCAGTCCATTCCTGACAGTACCCCCCCCTCAAGGAGCGGCCTCAGGACGCTCCAAACAGTCCTAGCTGGGAAAAATGTTCCACCGCCCGGGTCTGGTAAACTGGCGGGATATCAAAGACTGGCACATACCGGGCAGAGGCACATCGGGCTGGACTCCGGGCAGAGGCACATCGGGCTGGACTCCGGGCAGAGGCACATCGGGCTGGACTCCGGGCAGAGGCACATCGGGCTGGACTCCGGGCAGAGGCACATCGGGCTGGACTCGGGCAGAGGGCACATCGGGCTGGACTCCGGGCAGAGGCACATCGGGCTGGACTCCGGGCAGAGGCACATCGGGCAGGACTCCGGGCAGAGGCACATCGGGCAGGACTCCAGGCAGAGGCACATCGGGCAGGACCCCCGGCAGAGGCACATCGGGCTACCAGGCGAAGCGGCAGGCAGCGGGCCACCGGGCGGTAGCAGGGGGCAGGCACCGGGCCCCCGGGCGGAGCGGCAGGCACTGGGCCCCCCGGGCGGAGCGGCAGGCCACCGGGACCCCCGGGCGGGGCGACAGGCTCGGGCCCCCAGGCGGGGCGACAGGCATCGGGGGCCCCCAGGCGGGAGGCGGCGGGGGCGCCGGACCCCCAGGCGGAACTACAGGCCTCGGGCCCTCAGGCGAGCGGCGGGCGCCGGACCCCCGGGTGGGGAGCGACAGGTCTCGTGCCCTCAGGCGGAGAGGGGCGGGCGCCGGGACCCCCAGGTGGAAGCGACAGGCATCGGGCCCCCAGGCGGGGCGACAGGCATCGGGCCCCCAGGCGGGGGCGACAGGCATCGGGCCCCCAGGCGGGGGGCGCGACAGGTCTCGGGCCCCCAGGCGGGGCGGCGGCTCCGGCGCCGCACTAGGTCACCCAGGCGGTCTGGCTTGATCGACAGGTCTCGGGCCCCCAGGCGGAGCAATTGCGGGGCACCGAGTCACCAGGCACGACAGTGGGCTCCGAGTCAACTGGCATGACCGCTTGGCACTAGGTCAGACATTGGATCGTCTGGCTGGACAGCGGGCATCGGGTCACCAGGCATCAGGTCATTTGGCTCGACAGTGGGCACCGCGTCATCTGGCAAGGCAGTGGGCTCCGAGAGTCAACTGGTATGACCGCGCGGGCATGGGTCAGACATTGGATCGTCTGTCTGACCGGACAGCGGGCATCGGGTCACCAGGCATCAGGTCATTTGGCTCGACCGCGGGCACCGCGTCATCTGGCAAGGCAGTGGGTTCCCGACTCAACTGGCATGACCACGGGCACTGGGACAGACATTGAATCGTCTGGCTCGACAGCGGGCACCGCGTCATCTGGCAAGGCAGTGGGCTCCGAGTCAACAGGCACGACAGTGGGCACCGGTCATCAGGTACCGGATTGTCTGGCTCGACAGCAGGCATCGGGTCACCAGGTATGACAGCGTGGGCACTGGGTCACCAGGCATCAGGTCATTTGGCTTGCCAGCGGGCACCGCGTCATCTGGCAAGGCAGTGGGCACCGGGTCTCCAGGCATTGGATCGTCTGGCTCGACAGCGGGCATCGGGTCACCAGGTATGACAGCGTGGGCACTGGGTCACCAGGCATCAGGTTCATTTGGCTTGCCAGCGGGCACCGCGTCATCTGGCAAGGGCAGTGTGGGCACCGAGTCACCAGGTACGACAGCGGGCTCTGAGTCAATTGGCACGACAGCGGGGCACCGGATCAGGTACCGGATCATCTGGATCAACAGCGGGCATCGAGTCAACTGGCCTAATAGGATCGTTCAGGCTGGATCAGTTCATCATGCTGGGTAGAGGCATCAGGCTGAATGCCGGCGTCGGCGGCTGAGTAGAGGCTTCAGGCCGAGAGTAGAGGCTTCAGGGTCCCGAGTAGAGGCTTCAGGTCGAGTAGAGGCATCAGGCCGAAGTAGAGGCTTCAGGCCGAGAGTAGAGGCATCAGGCCGAGTAGAGGCTTCAGGCCGAGTAGAGGCTTCAGGCGACAGTAGAGGGAATCAGTAGCCGAGTGTAGTAGAGGCTTCAGGCCGAGTAGAGGCTTCAGGCCGAGTAGAGGCATCAGGCCGAGTAGAGGCTTCAGGCCGAGTAGTAGTAGGCTTCAGGCCGAGAGAGGCATCAGGCTGCATACAGGCATCAGGCTGAGAGAGGCATCAGGCTGCATACAGGCATCAGGCTGAAGAGAGGCATCAGGCTGCGTACCGGCATCAGGCTGAAGAGCAGGCATTCAGGCTGAGTAGAGGCTTCAGGCCGAGTAGAGGCTTCAGGCCGAGTAGAGGCTTCAGGCTGAGTAGAGGCTTCAGGCTGAGTGTAGAGGCTTCAGGCTGAACCACGGAAGGCAGGCTCACCGGTTTGGGATACTGGCAGGATGGTATTGGTTGGAAAGAATTTTCGCATTTTTTTCTGGTTTTAACTACTGGAGCACTGCAAGTAAACGCAGGTCTGCAAACGAATGGAGCAGCTGGGAGACAGAGAAGAGCTGGAGGATGGAACAGGAGAGGGAGCAGTTGCTACAGAGGGCTTTTTTACAGGGTTAAAGGCAGGATAGGTGCAGCGAAGTGGGAACAGGGGACTGACATGCGGTAGATAGCCAAGTATACTGGGCTGTAACTGGAGGAGCTGGTGGGGTATACAGGAGTAGAGTTAGAAGCAGGACTGGGTCTTTGTAAGCTGACTGAGGGCTGGGTGCAACAAATCTGTCCATGTCTGCAGTATGGGTTGAACAAAGCTGAGCTTACACAAAGCCTGTCTGGTCAATGACTGCACTGCGTTTATACAATCTCTTAGTGTCTGTGGTGAACATGTGGAATAACGCTCCAGAAAGTAACCCACATCATCTCTAATAACCACACCAGGGACTCTACCTGGTCTGCACTAAATGGTGGCAAAAATTCATCCTGCATTCGGGGGAACCAGATGAAACCAACTCAGCACAAACCTCAATCAATGGCTGCACCTCAGAGAACTCTGTGCCCTGATCTACTAGAACATGAGCGAGCCGTATACATTCTAGCAGTTCATCCCGGGGATACTCCTTCAGAGTTTGATAAGCATACTCCCTGTCATCAAACACTAGCAGATATAAATACGCAACCTCATCCAGATCCATCCTTCCCATCAACAAGCCAAGATGGCTTCCCTGTGCAGCCACTTCTGGTCAGGATTGGCCTTGGTGTAATGTCAGGGCTCCCAGGTGTGACCAGAGGTGTGTGACTGACGCAGGGAAACGCAGACTTCAGATATGTGATTAACAATGTAATTTATTAACACTAACAATACAAACATAAAACGCAGTGCAATACTAAACATAATACAGTGCAAACAAACCAAACCAACCACCCACAGATAACAGTACATACAAGCAAGCGTCGTAGTCAGGCAGGCTGAGTCATTATCAATTGGGCAGGTAGGTACAGGGGGAAGCAAGCGGAGAATGGTTGGGGTCACAGGCCAGGTTCAGCAGGTAGCAAGCAGCGTAGTACAGAGGGTCAAGCAGAGGGATGGTCAGGGTCACAAGCCAGGGATCAGAACAGGTAGAAAGCAGCAGCGTAGTACAGAGGGTCAGGCAGAGGGATGGTCAGGGTCACAAGCCAGGGATCAGAACAGGTAGCAAGCAGCGTAGTACAGAGGGTCAGGCAGAGGGGATGGTCAGGGTCACAAGCCAGGGATCAGAACAGGTAGCAAAGGAACAGAAAACAGGATGCAGGACAGATACAGGGCCCAGGACAAACACAACACCAAGGCAGAGTCTGCAAGTCTGGCCATCCCTTAAATACACCAGTATCATCAGTTCCAGGTGTTAGCTGGCTGAAAGGTTGAGTCTCTGATTGCTGGGAGAGCACCCGCTGGCCAGCCCTGGTACTGCAGATCAAAAAGGGCAGGTGAGTCCCACCATTGCTGGCCAGTCCATTCCTGACAGGAACACCTAAATCACATGATTTGGAGGTGATTGGAACAACTGAATCCAATGATTTGGAGGGGATTGGAACACCTGAATCACATGATTTGGAGGGGATTGGAACACCTGAATCACATGATTTGGAGGGGATTGGAACACCTGAATCCAATGATTTGGAGGGGATTGGAACACACCTGAATCACATGATTTGGAGGGGATTGGAACACCTGAATCCAATGATTTGGAGGGATTGGAACACCTGAATCACATGATTTGGAGGGGATTGGAACACCTGAATCCAATGATTTGGAGGGGATTGGAACACCTGAATCACATGATTTGGAGGGGATTGGAACACCTGAATCACATGATTTGGATGGGGATTGGAACACCTGAATCACATGATTTGGAAGGGGATTGGAACACCTGAATCACATGATTTGGAGGGGATTGGAACACCTGAATCACATGATTTGGAGGGCTGGCCCAATACTTTTGGCAATGTATCAAGGCACACACAAGGCATGCTAAAAACAACATACAATACTAATGGTGAGAGGCACTTTAAAATGACTTTTTTTTTGAAGTCAACAGGTATAAATATTGTAGATACTGACTCTTAAAAATCAGTTACTTTCCAGTGACGGGGGTCCAGTGTTATCCTCTCACATTCCTATGACGTCAGTCGTTAATGGTCACATCTACCAGTGAAGTGACTGGCCTCAGGGGAAGACACAGAGATTTAACAAATCTTCCTACATAAAGCCGGCCATATACGGGTCGAATGCCGAAAGAATTTTCTTTCGTAAAACTTTTCTAAGAATTTTCGTTTGAATTTTGCACCATTAGTGGGCCACAGCATTGGCCGATTTTCGAAGCGCCCATCGAATTTGAGTTATCAGAACACATTTCGCGTTGGAAAATTTTTGAAAAACGAACACATTTCTAATCAATGATGGGAGAATCGTGCAAGAAATGTAACTGGATAAGGAATTAGCGTGAGCCTGTGACCTGGAAAGAGAAGAAAATTCTTGGCTGCGAAAATAATTTTCTGTAGCAACATGAGGCGAAATTGGAAATCAATGGTGGCATCATCGGATTACAAAACACAAGAAATTTCCGATTTCTTTAAAGAAAATTTGTTGGGAATTCGACCCATGTATGGCTTGCATAGGTTCAAAGAATTGACACAGGATCTCTCAGTTCTGAAAGCAGGGGGGCATTGAGCTGAGGTTATATCAGTGAAGAAAGCTCTGATAGCCAATTTGATTGAAGGGCCACCCCCCCTTCACACAGCACACAGGCTGTCAATCACAGGCTGTGTGCTGGAGCTCCCTCCCTTGTCACCATTTTTCTCTTTGGTGTCAGAAAAATTTTTTAGAAGTGTCTCATGCTGATAGCAGAGGAAGGAGGCAGCAGAAATGACACTTAGTGCTCTGGACTGAGACAAGTACACACTATCGTGAGATGTGCTTTGTTCAGATTAGGTTTACAACCACTTTAAGTGTCCTTTTGTTAATGTCGGCAGTTACAGAATTTATAGCTGCTGGCTTTTATTTTTTTTCCTCTCGAGAGTGAAGATCCTCGTTAACCGTTTCAATACCGTGTGATTTTCCCCCTTCCTGCCCAGGCCATTTTTCACGTTTCAGCGCTCTCACACTTTGAATGACAATTGCGCGGTCATACAACATTGTACCCAAACTAAAATTTTATCATTTTCTTCACACAACTAGAGATTTCTTTTGGTGGTATTTAAGCACTGCTGGGGTTTTTATTTTTTGCTAAATTAACAAAAAAAAGACCAAAAATTTTGAAAAAAAAACACATTTTTCTTGGTTTCTGTTATAAAAGTTTACAAATAAATAATGTTCTTCATAAATTTAGGCCGAGATGTATTCTGCTCCATGTCTTTGGTGAAAATAACCCAAATTAGGATGTATTATTTAGTTTGTAAGAAAGTTATAGAGTTCACAAACTATGGGATAGATCTGAATATTGATCAATCCTGAAGTACTGACGGCCAAGCTAATCTCTTGAGGTCCAAGAATGTCAGAACATTACAGATATCCCCCAAATGTCAGAACAGTACAGATATCCCCCAAATGTCAGGACAGGACAGATATCCCCCAAATGTCAGGACAGTACAGATATCCCCCAAATGTCAGGACAGTACAGATATCCCCCAAATGTCAGGACAGTACAGATATCCCCCAAATGTCAGGACAGTACAGATATCCCCCAAATGTCAGGACAGTACAGATATCCCCAAATGTCAGGACAGTACAGATATCCCCCAAATGTCAGGACAGTACAGATATCCCCCAAATGTCAGGACAGTACAGATATCCCCCAAATGTCAGAACAGTACAGATATCCCCCAAATGTCAGAACAGTACAGATATCCCCCAAATGTCAGGACAGTACAGATATCCCCCAAATGTCAGGACGGTACAGATATCCCCCAAATGTCAGGACGGTACAGATATCCCCCAAATGTCAGGACGGTACAGATATCCTCCAAATGTCAGGACAGTACAGATATCCCCCAAATGTCAGGATAGGACAGATATCCCCCAAATGTCAGAACAGTACAGATATCCCCCAAATGTCAGGACGGTACAGATATCCCCCAAATGTCAGGACGGTACAGATATCCTCCAAATGTCAGGACGGTACAGATATCCCCCAAATGTCAGGACAGTACAGATATCCCCCAAATGTCAGGACGGTACAGATATCCCCCAAATGTCAGAACGGTACAGATATCCCCCAAATGTCAGAACAGTACAGATATCCCCCCAAATGTCAGGACGGTACAGATATCCCCCAAATGTCAGGACAGTACAGATATCCCCCAAAT